TGCGATAGAAACCCCCTATTTCTGATGGTGTGCGACCTTGAGATGTAAACGTCTGCCGCTAGAAAATAAAGCCCTATAATTCAAACATTGTGTGGCGTATTAAAACCAAATATAGCCTTTAGAGGATCAGAATTTCAACCAGACTGATAGCGATGACAATTACCCGGCCGAAGCTACACCGACGAATTTGATTTTTTTACAAAACTGTAAAAATTTTTTATATGTTGAATAAGTACTGAAATATAGAGCTCTAAAAAAAGTGCAGAAGGTGCCCCAGTCTCCCCTACTCCTATTGACTTAGCCGGTATTCTACCAATGTTCGGTATTTGAAGGAATTCATTTACAGAGTTTTATAAATGACCCTTAATAAAAATGATCATTAGCTCAGATTTAAAGGCCCAGAACAATTTTAAGTACTATAATCCGATCAATTGTCAAATTTTCCTGATCATCAATTGCCAAATTTTCCTGAAATTCCCAACCAATATTTATATGGCAATTTCACATAAACTACCTGCAACAGAATAAGAAAAAAAAAACAAATTGGAAAAATTTCAATTCCACGGCAAGACATGGATGGCTAAATCGACATGGAATACTTTTCTGATTATGAGGTATTTCGAGTATCGATCTATTCACCGGTATGTGGTAAACTTCAAAACAAAGCAGAAAAAATATTGTGGAGATACGAACTCTTTTCCATAGACATGTCAAACTGAAAGAAAGACTATATGGTCCGACATGTCGATACGGCGCCCATAGAAATTTTCAAATAAATTATGTTCTTCAAAATATCCCTGATATTCTGCGATGCGTCTCTATTCTACAAATTATCTTTTCTCCAAAAAATCATTATTTTAAATTCCGAGAACAGGAAGCAGCCCATGTGCTCCAAAAATGGAAAATGCGATTAATACGGAAGTTGGATTTGGACTAACAGGATTTTGAATATTTTAGACAAATTTTCTACCGAATTATCTGTAATTCTCGGTCCATATTAAGGTATAGTCCCCATTAATGATGCTCCTAATTTTCGGTATTTTGAGTATTTCAAATATGTTGTTTTCAACAAAATTAGCTCTAAGTATATATAATTGTTTGGATTTCTTATTGGATGGTCTGTAGAATCCATATACAAGTCCAGCCACTTTTATAGGTATTTTGAAGAAGTGACTACAACTAGGCATTCAAAGACCTTGGTGGATATAAACTTCTTCACAGAACATTTTCTATGGAAGTCTATTTTCTTACGTAGACCTCATACAATTGGCAAAGGTCATTTTCGGTATATTGAAGGTCCAACCTAAATACCTGTTGTTTTTCCTGGCAGCAATTTACCATGGCATAGCCTGCATATTCAAATCCGGATAGATTTCATGAAAAAAAAACATGTCCATAAATTGTTTTTTATATGTCAAAAATGCCACAAATATATTAATGTTGGCTGGTCAGGTCAATTTTGAAAAATAATACTTGATTCGGATATTTCTCTGGGTTTTTCTGATTTTCAAGTTTCGAAAATTATTTATTATGCGTTTGAAAAAATATGTATAATTTTCAGATATTTTAAAGCAATTCATAGAAACAAAATAAATGGGTCACATATTTTGAAAACTGACGCATATAACCTTCGATAGCTCAGTTGGTAGAGCGGTGGACTGTAGAGAGCGTTGTTAAGCGATAAACATAGACATCCATAGGTCGCTGGTTCAAATCCGGCTCGAAGGAGTAACTTTTTTTAAAATCCATTGTGTAACCTATATTTAATGGTCGGACAAAATAAAAAAGTTCCTAGAATTTAATCAAAAAACTGGAATATTTAAAAATAATTTTTATAGGAGTAATATTATAAATTTCGATTGTAATGGAAATTCAATAAAACAAGTATGCCATTTCTTCCGTGATTTTTTTATTAAAATTTACTTTGTTCTATTAAAACCTCTTTTTGGACCAAAACACTAGACTACTTTATTTCAATGGTATTAACAAATTAAATTAATAAAAATTTTTCAATAAAAAATAACTCCTTCGAGCCGGATTTGAACCAGCGACCTATGGATATCTACTTTTCAAATTTGCATTTTCTACAGTCCACCGCTCTACCAACTGAGCTATCGAAGGTTATGTGAGCCATGAGGCAAATGAGCGTGTTGTGCTGTAATGAATATTGATGTGGATTACAAAAACGATTCAAATTCACCACACCAAAATAGTGTTAACGGTTTCAAATGGAGGTTGAATGCATATTTCACCATAGAAACTTAGGTGTAAAATTTATTGTAATTTTTTTTAGTACAAATCATTAGTGGGGAACATGTCTACACATGACAACTTTGCCACCACACATACCTAGCCTTCGATAGCTCAGTTGGTAGAGCGGTGGACTGTAGAGAATGCAAATTTGAAAAGTAGATATCCATAGGTCGCTGGTTCAAATCCGGCTCGAAGGAGTTTATTTTGTTAAAGTAATTTTTATAAAAAGTTTCAATTTTTCTATTCAAAACTGGATTTACCAGCTACCAAAACCAGTCAAAATGACGGGTGTATAAAAATAAATGTTTATTGTGGTTTTCAACCTTTATTCATTCGAAAATTGACAAAAAAAAAGTTGAAAAATATTATTTGTAATGGATAAATGGAATTATAGCATCCTATTTGACACCATTTTCGTACAGAAACCATGCCTTTTGCAGTTGGTATATCAGCTTCCTGTGGGTTTTGCCTTGAAGTCTGCTAATCAAAACAAAAAGTTTTACCGTGAGATATTTTCTCCTGTTGTGTTTTTGTACAATATCCAACTATTGATTCCGACTAAATCTAAAATAAATGAAAAATACTTGAAGTGGCCACCATCTGGAACCTGATTTCACTGCATTCTTTTATAACGACAAATTCCCTTAGGGGGTCTAGAGACTCGTCTTTTCCTAAATACGGAAGGTCATTTACCACATACTTCCTCTCTTCATCAGATGCCAACCAAAATTTTATCCCAAATTTATAGGGTTTGTTTGGCATATACCTGCGTCTGGCCTTCGATGGAAAAAGTTGCTCATCCACACCAATATAAACTCCTGGTTTGAAGCAATTTTGACTGTTATCAATAAATTTATGCCAACATGCTGAGACTACAGCGAGATTGCGTGATTGTCCATTTTCCCCCAAAACTCGAGAGCCTTCTAACTCTGTACATATTCGTATATGTTCCAAAATATGGTTGTCAATCAGAAATGGAACAAACTACTTAGATCCCGTTCATACCATAGCAGGATGCTCTTTTATAATAAAATTCGATATGTTATACAATACACTATACTTTTGTTAGTAATTTCTTTGCTATAGCAATGTTGAATATGTTCGACAGAGACTAAACGGGTAAAAAACATGAAGCATCAATATTCGTATTAAATCTGGTCATTTAATGAAATAGGGAATATAGAATTTCTGCATAAATTACAACTTTAACATCGTTTAGCCTTCTTCTGTTCGTTTTGTGTATTATTTGATTCAAAATTCCAAAGATCAATATATTGGGGAAGGTCAGTAGTAATTTCAAAGGTTTTAAACGCCACTACTGAGTTCATATCCTCAAACATAAGTATATATTCGATTATCGTAACATTCGAAGTCCATATAAGCCTATGTCTACTCATCGGTTTGTGGTGAGTTTCAGAATAAAATGTATAAAATAGAACATTGCAAAAAAAAAAGGAACACGTCATTCTTTTTATAGACAAGTCAACTTGGCAGAAGGTCTGTATAGGTCAAGTATATACCTACAGAAATTGAAAAAGGCAAAATGATGTTCTTCAAAAATCTGTTGGAGTCATGAGGAGACATTCGGTCGCTGTCCATTGCGTTGCACTAACGTTAGCGGATCACACTGGCGCCACATAGTTTACCAAAGACCGGTCGGTCTATTATTCTGTATGTCGGTGACAAGGTTTCTTTGTCAGCTCCCCAAATGCTGCCGGCTAGCGACTTGAGAAACTTGTTCCTGCTCCTAGTCTTATCGCAAAGAGCTGGGGCATGCGTGGGCGACTTATAACGCTGTGTAATAGTCGTTGGTGACGTTCGTTTCTTTTGAAAGGTGGTATTCGATGAAATCTAATCATCTTGTGCAAACCTCTCGAATGACCGGTGATTGGAATTAGGAGTGAAATAATGGAAACGAGTAGATAACGTGTGGAATAAATCCGTCCCGGTTATATGGAACTCGATGTTCATAGATATCGAACCGAAGAAGATAACAGATCTAATTAGTTAATTAAAAACCGTGTGGTTTTAGTCCTTCAAAGCTCTAGGTCCTCACTGATAGAAATTTGTAGGACATGTCTCTTTGCCTATGCTTTCTGATTTCTTATCAATTGAATGAGATCGAATCTAACCGATCTGTTCTCGAAAGTACGGGCGTATCCTTGGCTCTGATACAGTGGATTAATGAAATGTTGGAAAATAAAATATCAAAAATGTCTGATTTTTCTAGTAGTTCGGTTTAACTCTATTTTAAGTATATTTTTATCCAATTATCTACGGAAAATATGCATACGAGCATAATATACATTTTTTAATGGAGGCATCATTGGAGCTTCTTTATGAACATACGCATTTTAATCTCTCAACAAAATATAAAGCAATAAAATCTAAAATTAAATATTTTAGACTTTTAGAAATATTAAGAGATAATCATATCAGTATTATAGACATTTGATATGCTTAGAGATTCTCGAGGCCCAAAAATAGCACAACTGATAACGATATTTGACTTGTGGCATTTTACGAAAACGGAAATCGCATAACCTTCGATAGCTCAGTTGGTAGAGCGGTGGACTGTAGAGAGCGCTGAAAGCGATACACATAGATATCCATAGGTCGCTGGTTCAAATCCGGCTCGAAGGAGTTACTTTTTTGGATTAAAATCTGTTACCGATTCACACCATGATCTATAAAATATTATAAAGAAATAGTAAAACTTAATCAAACCTGACTTTTTATACTTACAGCCCCACAAAGTAAAAATGCGTTGCAAATCGTTACATCGAAGGAAAAAAGAAGAACGTCTACTATTGGATTTACCCACCACCGACCCAGGTTCTGATTTAGTATTTTCAACAGATGATGAATATATTATGGATGCCGCCGCCACCACTGGTGGGGTGCAATATTATAGTACATTACCCCGTCACATAAGACGTGGTCTAATGCAAAGTGAACTACAACGACGTTACATTGAAGAAATTGGAGATGGTCTGAGAAATATGCCACCTGAGTTGATTATAACTTCGCCATCAAATAAAACCAAACATCCACCAATAAAGATACTATTAAAACCCGCAAGCAGTACCCACAAAAAATATTCTGCAGCACCACCAAAATCTGCGGAACTTCCAATGATTGGTGAACCGGCAAGACGTACCAGTTCATGGCATAATCTGAATACTGCCCCACAAACACCCATTACACCGCAATGGTATTCAATGAATGTGACACGACGACAACAATCACCGGCGGCGGTGCACTCGCCGAAACCGGTCTTTAAAACGAAGTAGGTTTGGAAAAAATGTTTCTTTCAAATATAACTTTTTAAAATTTATTTTGTTTGTCAAAATGTTTAAATTTTACAGATCAATGGCCAAAAAGGAACCCTTGAGTAAGGAGGACTTGGAAATAAAATTATCTTTGAAAAAGAAAATATGGACAGGCATCCAACCCGAAGATGGTCCCTATGGTGTAGATCGCAGCAGACCTTTGACTTGGGTGCCACCGCCTCCGCTTAAAACGCCAACTAAAAAATCTGTGGATCACAAACGTGCGGAGTGTGCGAAGAATGTTGTACGCTTGGAAAATGAAGCATTTTTGACGTAAGTAATATCTTCATTAAGTTCCCAAAGGTCCGATTTTTGGATACCCTTCACAGATGTGTGTGCATTCAAAATGCTTAAAATTGTTTATGATAATCTGCCAAGGGAGGTTTTTATCCTCTGAGAATACGTTATGCCAAAAATACAGACCCTTATTTTGGAAAATTCGACTAAGATCTCCAGCACACAGAAAATGTGGCCACTTCGTTTGCGTCTAGGGCCATGAAAATATTTAAAATAGGGTGAGACATGTATAGTTGTGCTACATCAAAATATGGCCCTCAAAGAACCTGGAATGTAAAATAACTGCCATTCAGTTGAAAAATGCTTTTTCCGGTCGAGGAATATGGAAATATCCGCCACTAAGTCAACTGTTAACCACATGGACAGCGCAGATGCGGTCTACAATTCCGGAGTCACATTCGATAGATTTTATAAGTCGTCCGTGCATGCAACATCTATTTGCGATAAGATCAGAAGCAGAAACAAGGTTCTCAAGTCGCTAGCCGGCAGCACTTGGGGAGCTGACAAAGTAACCTTGTTAACAACATACACATCAATAGGCCGGTCTGTGGTAAACTATACGGCGCCAGTGTGGTCCGCTAACATCAGTGCAATGTAGTGGAAAAATCTTCAATCCTGCCAGAATGCCGTCCTGAGGACTGCAACAGGGTGTCTCCTCAAGACTCCAATAGATCACTTACATGAGGAGACGAAGATCCTTCCTCTGCGTCAACACAACAAGATGTCGATGTAATACCTGCTTGGGTGTTACACAAGTCGCCATCCAAATCGTTACCTAATGGATAGTCACCCACCACCTATGCATATCATGAAGAATCTCCATGATGATGATTCATGGGGGGAGCCTCTAGATCAACAGGCCTATCAAGCAGGATTGAATCGTATTCACACGGATGCAGTTAAGGAAGCAATTCGAGAATATCGTGTGACTACAATCCTCGGTGATCACCCGCCCACGATAGCTGCAGAAGAGCAGCAGCTACCTCGACAAACCAGTGTGGTCTAGGCACAATAAAGATCAGGATGTTGTAGCCGCCTCAATTCATGGTGGGCACGAATTGATGGCGAGGTAGATGGCAGCCAAACCCACTCTCACCTAACCCCTTCACTTTGGACACAACCGATACAGCCTTCCTGAACTTGAAGTTAGAAGCAGAACCCGAGTAATGAGATTAAGAAGAAATACAAAGCAGCTACTACAAGAACAACAACAACCAGTTGCCGAGATAAACGAGAATAGTTTTTGTCCAATTATGATCAGGATGGTTCATCCCCATCAATGTGTATTGGGCCTAAATTTACAGCACGATAATAGACACATTCCCTACATGAGGCTCAACTCCACGACATGCTGCATTTTTCCAACTGCCCTGCTAAACTCACTCACTCATCTGTCTCCAGAATTTCTTTGAACGCAGTCGATCCAAACTGAAACCGCTTTGAACATGGAACTGGAATAAACTGAAAACACAGAAAATTGAAGAAAGTTTCTGCAACAACATCGTACCTTCGTGACGGAAGAGGTTGACATCAAAATGTCGACCAGCTATAGACCCCATATTATACCAAAATGCGGTCGACCTATATATCTTAAATATTGCGATCTCTATCATGATTTTCCCTTCGAACATTACGGCATGTTGCGAACGGAATGCAAATTTAATATACACTCCGCTTAATTTTTTTTTTTTTTTTTTTTGTCTTCAAAGAAGCAATTCAATATTTATTCCCTTATATTTCTAGAGCCTGCAGTCAAAAACTCCTAGAATGGCAGAGTATAAATTCCAATGAGGAGGCAACACCGCGTGATAAAAACAGCAAAACCCCTTTGACACTGATGATGCCCGAACTAAATACTGAGGATCATACAATGCGGATATTTAAGCACTTGGCCAATATGAAAAAGTCAACGAAGCCGAAAAGTGATAGTGAGACTAAAACCAAACAGAAAAGGTATTTTAATTTCAAAATTAAGTTGAATTGAATTGTAAAATATCCTTCTTTCCAGAAATCTAATAACAAAAGTAACCGAGACAACAACATTTCTAACCAAAATTAGTAAAAGCAGCAAATCAAGAAGTAATTTGGCGGTGGGGACATATCGCAATACGATGAATAAACAAATCAACACTAATGGAGGAACGGGAGCTACAAATGTTACCGGACAATACAAACCTCACCATTTACGCCATCCGAGTAAATTCAAAACTGGTGGCATAGTTGCCACAGCGGTTCAAACTACAAATACCAAAAATAAGACTAAAAAATCCAAATCCCATAAAATGCACAATTTACCAAATGTTGATGGAGGAGGAGCTGGATCATTAAAAACAAATCCAACAGCAGATGTTCGACCATCAACCAGTAGCGGAGGTGCAATAGTATTAGCTTCTACCACAGCCACAACCATAGTTCGTAAGGTCAAGACGAAGTTAAAAAAGAAGAAGTCATCAGGAACAACAAATACTAGTACACATAACACCGCCACCAATACAAATAGTTCCTCCAATGCCATTAAGGATGGTATTGTAACATATATTTCAACAAAGGCTTCTGTAACGGCAGGTAGTTGCTCGTCATAAAACCGGATAATACCTATATTATTAGTTTAGATATCCATATATGTATGTAATTAGCTAAATTAGTAAATTATAATAAAAATTTTTGTAACAATTTGAGAAAACAAATGTTTTAACTTATTGACTTTGAAGACAAGGTTATTATTTACTTGACGAGTTTAAATCTCACATTGGTTTCCAATCCTAATGGGCTTGTCGAAAACTTATAAATAAATAATATGCACAGAACCAAGTGTAGCTAAAACTTCTAACACATTCAAACCCAAAATATCTGAAGTATTTGTAAAAAATTTAAGCAGGATGCACGTTTTTCGTTTATTGCTATTTTTTTATGTTTATGAATACGCCTATATGGGGACAACCAATGGGGACAAACAAATTAGCTAACTATTTTAATATAAGAAGGGGGTTTTATGGGAACTGCCCCTATTGGTGGCGAATAATAAGAATTTTAGGTAGGAAAATTTGTTATCATATGCGACGGCAAAATACCAAATTACAACGAATTCGGTAGAAAAGCGCGCTCGTAAACCCCAAAATACCAAAAATTGGGGTGCCCTTATATGGGGGCTACTCGAAAAAATTTACCTATATTTGACCAATTTTATAGAAACTCTACTCTAATGTCATTAAAGTCTAATGACACATAGTCCCTAATGTGAGTATTTCTCCTCAAGAAATCACAACCATAGCGATCTCCAGACATCCGTTTCTCGGAGCCTCAGGGCACATCTGGAATTTAATCCGAATATCCAGTGGTTGGAGATTCCATATCGCATTCAAGGCTGCCTGTGGAGTACTTCTTAGCGCTCCGGTAGTCAGAATCGAAGCCGATCGCTGTACTGAATTTAATTTTGTGAAGATATTTAAGAATGGGGAGAACGACCGTGGGGTTTACACCAAGACCCTTGCCGAGTGCTCATTTGGACAGAGTTGAAGGGCACCCTTCAGTTCGACAAATTTGAAATGGCGCACGAGGTCTCCTAACACTGGAGTGCTAGACATCATGCCCATTATTGTTTCACGTTTTACAGTCAGGTTTCCAACTGTATTCTGACGGAGCCTTCTTTATACATGGGCGCCTCAAAAATATTTTCAGGCTTAATTGTTGAGTTCTTACAATGGTACGAGGGTACGCCATGACTGAGCTGAAGTCCTCCCTTTAAAAAAACTTCTATGGAGCCGAGGCCTCAGTCACCGTCCAAAGGAGGATAAGACTCTTCCCGACCTGAGTTTAACCAGGAAAATGCCGAATGTGGCTTCTAATCACTCAGAACCCTCCAAGGGGTCTCTAAATGTTGAGAAATACTTGACACCATCTTCCATTGCGAAAGAGAGTAAGGTTGTGTCGAAGTCCGCCAGAAGGAAAGCCCGTAGAAAATCCTTCAGAAAGATCCAGTTGCTGTTGGATAAATCAAAAAAGGGCTAATCGAAGCAGGAAGTGCAAGTGATCGCTGTGTTAACCTCTGCGGCAGCTGCAACTGCGGGATTAAAACTCAATCGCGACCCGTGGCTGTGAAGAAAATTAGGTCCTCGTATGAGCCGCAACCTGTTGACCTACACAGTCAACAGTTATCTGAAGGACCTCTTCCTGAAAGACGAAGTTGATTGTCGAACCAGTAAAACAGACCGTAACCAGTATTATTTCAACAAATAATTGGCGTTGCTGGGCTGTCCTTGAAGGTGAATGTTAAATACATTTTGTTTTGGAATAGATGGGGCCACAGCAGATTGCCATGAAGTTGTTGAACAAGATCAGAGCTACTGACAAGATCAGAGCTAGGCATTGATTGCAATGCATCTGGGGATTGCGCGTCAAGACACCGGGTCGATGCCAACAAATATTAATAATATTATGTGTAAATCGACAGAAATGTTTATACCTTGATCGAGTAAGATAGGCCTTTGCATATTTAAGATAGACCTTTGAAATGTTGCACATACATTGATAATACTAATCAGTCGACTTTTATGGTAGACTCCATAAAGCAGAACCCTTCAATATTCGGTATTTTGAGGCTTTTGGACAAGTTTTTCAATCTAATAACCTGTAATTTGTTAGTCGGGGTTCCCACTGGGTAAAAAATGTTCCTATAACGGGGTTTCGAGTTAGTCCTGACATAACAGTACCACCAATATTCGGTATTTTGAGGCTATTGGGAAAGTTTTTCAACAAAATTCGCTGTTAAGTATTATTTAGGCTACTCGCTGGTTAGAAAATGTTGCAGTAGTGCTGGCGGGTTATTTGAAATACTATTAGTATTTTGTTTTTGCAAAATAGTTAGGCTGAATCCCTGTTTATTGTTTTTTTAGAAACAACTATTTATTAGTTGCGCAACAGGACAAAAATATGTGGTCCTGGCTGAGCATAATCATATCAAGGTTGTTATGAGGACTAGGTTGGCTGTCTGTGTCAGAAATTATTCTATTTTTATATACTTTTGGATGTCTCATGGATGTAGAAACCTGTACCACAATGTAGTGGTTGGGATTACTTAGTAAGAGACCGCGTTCAGGAAGAACAGTCTAACAAGCAACAAAATATTATGTTGTTTTCCCGGGAGGAATAAATGAGCGGTTTCTAATTTAGATAACGTACTAATCGGGTTTCTAAGCCATTATCCCAAAAGTCTGAAATGATGTTGACGGCTTCATTTTCAGCGTCAGAAGAACATTTCCGAAATATTTCCATAAGTTGCAATGATCGTACCATTAGAAATAAGCTAATTTCAATCTAAAATAAAGCTATTAATAAGGTTAATTACAAAAAACAATTCTCATAAAATGTTACCAATTCTATTAACTGCAACTAATTGGCATTCATTATCGTCATTGTCATCAAATTTCAGGTTTTATGCCGGTTACTTCTAATTGCAAAAAACCGCAAGCGTTGTTGTATAATTCAAGCACATTTCTTTAAATTTATTCTAAAGCGCATCAAATGATCATTCTATTTGTATTTTATTATCAAATTATCATTTTTTCTTATCAATGCAATTAAAAATGTAATCAGTAGTAAAACAAAAGTTGAGTTAAACACGTCTAGTCACGATTAAAGTTCATTGTTGCTGGTGATGCCGCCGCCTCCCACAGAAACACATGCACAAACACAAGGTGTGCAAGCACCTGGCTGCCTATTGGCATTAACTCTTCTCCATTATAGATATGTTTATATTAATTCTCTTATTTTCACTAAATTTTTTAAATATTTTTAGCAAACAAACGAAAAAACAACAATAATAGTTAAGCGCCTTTTTCGCACTTTGCAAAAAAATTTCATCGTCCCCTGACACTTTACCTTTGTGGTGGTTTGTGTGTTTATTTTTGTTTTGCTTGCTTATTTTTTTGAACAACAATTCCGCTCTCACTCACTCTCTCATGCAATTGTTGTTTGTTTGCATGTTTGTTGTTTTTGCCAAAGAGAACACTCACCTATAATTTCGCTTTCGTTTGAAATTCTCGCTGCTTGTTGTAGTTTTTGGTTTTTTTTTCTTTATGAATTTTGAATGAAAACTTTAACACTTCACTTGAAATTGAACACCACAAATTGTTAATTGACTCGGATAGAACATTTCTTGTTTGTTTATTTTCTCTCACTACATCCGTACACTGTTGAACGAGGGGGTTTATTTTTCCAATTGCAAGCACTTGTATTTGTTTTTTTAAATTCTAAATTTTCTTTTCGGTCGTCCGCACACACAAAAAACACACTCAGCCACTCTCACGAACGCGTTAATTAAAGTTGGTTGGATAGCTCTCTTCGCGTGTGTCAAAAGTTCTTTTGACATTCCGTTGCACATGAACTTTCCGCGACAAGATTAGATTTAGATGTGAAAGGGTTGTACTATTTGGGAGTGAATGTTACTCTTGTGACCGTTAGAATCTTTTTACAGTGGGGGAATTTGGTAAAGGGAAATAAACATTATAAATGAAGGGAGATATTAAAATTACCAGTGTTCCATTTGTAAAATTTGTGTTGAACGAAGAGAATAAAACCTTTTTTTTTTGATAGAGTAGCAACTAAAGAACACTATAAGCTACCCAAAGCTGGTATGGGTAATAAATAGTTACAAACCCCAGGCCCAAATGGCATAATACCGGTCATGCTGCAGTTCGCAGATGAACGAGTATTGGTCACTCTGCAGAGTATTTTTAGCCGAAAGCCGAGTCATATACTACCTATGGACTATAGACCAATTAGCCTTTTTACTTAAGACTTTAGAAAGGATAATTGACTCTGAAATTAGAAGTATTATCAACCCCAATAAAATTAGCAAATCCCAACATGCCAACATGAAAGGCAAATCGGCGGATACTGTTTTACATGAGGTGGTCGGACGTACCGAAAAGAATGTGTGGACCTCCGGTTACACCTTGACTGCGTTCCTTGACATCGAAGGAGCCTTCAACAATGTGAAGCTGGAGGCTATCCATTCTGCTTTCAATAGTTCAGGTATCCTCTCCCTCCTAACGGAGTGGTTTGATGGAATGCTGGAAAGCAGAATTATCAATTCGTCATTTGGAGAGAGTTCCGTGAGGAAATCTGTCAACAGAGGTACACCACAGGGAGCAGTATTATCTCCTCTACTATGGCTTTTGGTGAAAAATGAGATACTGCTGAAATTCGACCACCTTAGGATAAAGGTTGTAGCCTATGCCGATAATGTAGGCTTACTGGTCGGTGAGAAGATTCTGCCGACTATTTCTGATATCATACAGGGTGTTCTTTTAACTCTGTCCAACTGGGCACACGCTAATGGTACCCCCACGAAGATAGAAATTTTACACTTCACTAGAAAATTTACCAAAATTCCCCAACTTCCGATTGCCATCCTTGGGTGGTGTTATCTAAGTCCTTTCTTTACAAACAAACTACCTCGGTACAGTCCTCGACCAGAAAGTAAAATGAAAAGAATGTTGAGGATCGCACTCTACTCCTGCAAGAACTCTATAGGTAAGAGTTGGGGACTAAAAATAGAGATCACACTCTGGTTGTATGTAACGGTTGTACCCCGCATTCTGACATGTGGTTACCTTGTATGGTAGCAAGGGATCAACAAGAAGATGCGGTTGGCTAAAATGAGTACCGTGCAGCGATCGCCGTCGATCCTGACAACCGGAGAGCTAAGAAGCACATCACATGCTTCCTTGAATGCAATTCTGAATGTCCATCCACTGGATTTTCTGATAAAATTCCAGGCTGCAAGATGTGCTATGTGGCTCCGGGAAACGGATGCCTGGAAGTCCCTGAATTTTGGCCACGCCAGTATCCTTAACACGATGCCAGTTTGTGACTTTTTAGAGAGGAGTATTCACATCATAACGACTTTAACGAATCCTGAGAAAGTGGCTCCTTACCTCTGACGAATCTGTAGATATTTACAGACGACTCGTAGATATTCCTCCATCTACGAGCCTTACTGGTGCGGGCGTTTAATGCAAGGAACCAGCCATTTACAACTCATGTAATCATTACGATCTTTGCAGCATTTTCGGCAGAAATCCTGGCAATCACAAAAGCGGCTGAGATAGTCAAAACACTTACTTGATAATTCTCCCGAATAGAGCCCAAACATCCACTATCTTTCCTCTACTCCTTTCTTTTCAGGTATAAAGAATGGACAATGTATCTGAGTGAACGGCTTTAAATAGCAGCCTTACATCAAAAATCCACCCCTTAAAAATGTTCATTAAAAAATTCACGCCTTTTTAAAAGCCTTGAAAATCATTTAAAAATCCAGGACTTTTTTAAAGCCTTGAAAAATCATTTAAAAAATCGACGGCTTTTTAAAAGCCTTGAAAAATAATTTAAAATATCTACGCGTTGATAAAGACGTGAAAAAATATTTAAAAATCCACGCCTTGTTGAGGCCTTTAAAAAGTTCACGCCTTGTTAAGGCCTTTAAAAAGTTCACGCCTTGTTAATGCCTTTAAAAATTCCACGCCTTGTTAAGTCCTTAAAAAATAGTGTTTAAAAGATTCACGCCTTGTTAAGGCCTTGAAAGAATATTCTTTAAAAAAAGGCCTTTTATATTTATATATTTTTTATTATTTATATTTATTTTTAATTTTTTTTATTATAATTTAAATTTATTCACACATTTGGTATGTGTAACATAATACCATCTATTGCAACCCTGTTCCTCTCCAACTGACAGAGTTGCATTGCCAACATTACAAAATAAAGCGAAAATGAAACACAAAGCAGAAGCTGAAACAAAATACGGCGAATTGAAGTAGAAGAAGCAAATTGCAAAATTTGTCGGCGTCTTAAGATCGTTGTAATAATTTTTGTTAATAAATTTAAATTAAATAATTGTTAACAAAATATCGTGCTTCGATTTGTTGTAAATTTAGTTTAGCCCCTCCCTCGAAGTGAGATGTTTACAGAAAAAGGCGCGCAATTATTATGGAGAGCTAAAGAAGAACGCAAAGGAAAGAAATTATTGTCATAAGAAAAATATTCTAGTGTCGAGGTTTTTTTGGTGGCAAAGGAAAATGCAATCGAACTACTGCTGGTGATACAGAAGGAAACAGTGTTGAAGAAAAAAGTGATACTAAGAAGCTGCCTTTGTCAGCGAAAGAAAAAAAATTGGCGTAACTGTGAGGAAACATGTGGTCCTTGTAAATTTTTGTTTGGTATAGTTCAGCTGCATAGTTGGCGTTTATTTCCCCAAAAAAACAGCAAAGACAATTTTGGTGGGAGAAGAAGAAGCAGCAGCAGTAGCATCTACAGCAGGTTCTTAGGAGTCATCTTTTGACTCGGATTTTTTGGTTGTACAGTTTAACGAGTAATTCTGAAAGACATCAATTTGAAGGTTATTTTACGGAGACTGTAAAAAAGGTATTTATCTACCCTTTGTAAGATTTGTAAAAATATGTAACACTAATTGCCTTTTGCTTTACATTGAATGCAGGCAACATGGATCTCTTTGATCAATTGAAAACTACTGGGCCAGTGGCCAAGGAATCATCGAAAAAGGATAAAGAAGATAAGAAAAGTTCATCGAACAACATCAGTAAGGACAGTGGAAATCAAAATAAAAACAATTCATTCAAACAAGTGGGCAAGGATTCGTCGGACAAGAGTAATTCCTCATCCTCCTCCTCTTTTGATAAGAAGAAAGAAAAACACAGCCATAATCATAGCAAGAAACATGATGAAACAGCCAATAGGAAAAATTCTATAACACATAATGCGAAATCAAAGTCTTCAAGTTCGGACAAGTCCTCTAAACATCACAAAGATGAAAGAAAACATGACGACAGTAAAAAGAAAAGCCATGATGGTGGCAAATCGAAACATGACTCGGAAAAGCATAGCAATAAAAGTAAAGAAAATTCACATCGCAAGGATGATAATGATAGTCCTCCCAAGAAGAAGTCTAAAGTGGATACAAATGACAAGGACACCGCGGATGGCAAAAAGAAAAACACGGCAAGTAGCGATAGCAACAATCATGAACAAAAAGTAAAAAAATTCAATGAAAAACATAAACGTGAGGAAGATCCTGAAGGAAATCAACGCCGTCGTGAATCACTGCCCTCACCAATACCGTCGCCATTAAGTGCCACAAAGAAGGCCAATAAATCTCGCAGTCTATCACCACCCAAAAATATTCCAACATCCTTTGGAAAGCAGCTCAAGGTCAAACTGGAAAGAACCAAATTAGAAGATTATTCACCAATGAAAGGAAATTCGCACAGTTCCCCAAGTAAAATGGACGAACCAATAAAGAAAACCCCTACAAAAGCACAACAAAAACTTTTTGAACCTCCTATGGGTGAGAAGAAATCGAAAGTGGAGCAACAAGTCCTTAAACAATTCAATGTTAAATCATGTGTTGTAAGAATACATCGTGATAATATGAAGAAGCTAATGAAGGAATTTAGAAAGCAACAAAAAAGAGCCGCCCACAACTCATTAGATGCGGCAAATAGAAATGATGGTTCTCCTTCGACAAAGAAAAACAAAAGTAATGTTGTTGCAGCGGCGGCGGCTAAGCCTAAAAGTAGTTTCTTTATAAAAATAACAACTCCCGCAAAAACGGATAAAAAATCGAAATTGTCAAAACATAATTCGTCGTCATCATCCTCTTCGTCATCATCGTCGTCGTCCTCATCAGTGGCCCGGCATAATAAAATTAAAAATTCCAAATCGCCCTGCACAACAACGCCGACCAAATTCTCTCGCACTCATCTCATCAAAACTTTTGGCAAACAATGGTTCAATTGCCATGTTCGTGTTAAAAATTGCAATCATCCCATTGCCCGAACATTTGTATCCAAGTCAAGTGTACGAAACAAATTCAATAATCTAAAGAAGAAAAATCTATCAGTATCCTTCTGTGATGAGGTAGAGGTATTGGGTACATCTTCATCGGAATCAGATAGTGATGATGATTCACGTGATGAGAATTTCTGTGCAACAGCTGTACCCGCCAATTTTGGTGCTAACACACCATTACGTAACAGCAGCCGACTTTCCAGTACATTAAATACGCCAATGGTGGTGCCATCAACACCTCTGCCGGCTCGTCTAAAGAAATTGGAAAATGGTCGGGTGGTTGATGATATTGTTTTGGATCCTTCACTATTCTTGGGTCCAGAAAATATTGTGGCCAGTACACCATTTTCACCGGGACGCAAGAAACGTGAACACAAGAAATCCTTTAGTCCCCTCAAAGACGAAGAAACACAAAGTCCTCGCAAAGAACAATTGAAACGGGCCAATGAGCGAGTACCACCAACTGGTCTGCGGCGTCTGAACATCGATGACGAGGATGATGAGGAGGAAGAAGACGATGATTGTGAATATATTGGTAAGGAAAAAACACTTCAATTTTAATAAAAAAATTTAATACAAAATTTCTTTCCATTTTCACAGTACCTATTGACATGCCAGAACGACGCGCATCACGTACAAGTTCCACAAATACCGCAGTCGATACCGGGCCAAGTGTAATACCACCAACATTTGATGATGAAGTTCTACCCTATACGGCACCCTCAATATTTACCCAAATCGATGAGGCCATAACATTGGCCAAAGGTCTAGTATCACCCGTACCCTCATCCACCACACCAAATCCCGATTCAGCGGAAAATAACACAAACAGCAGCAATGACCGAAATAATAAAATTGTAAAACATTCAAATAATACATCGGATAATACAGAATCTCATGATAGTTTTGTATCGGCCCAAGATCAGGAGCAACAACGCCAATCTGTATCACCGACCACTTTATCCAGCGATGTAAATCATGTTGCAGCTGTAACTGCACCAGGAGTGCCACAAGAAAATACCACAAAAACAAATGGTAATATAAATAAAAATAAAAATAATTTAGATGGAGATGATGTATCTATGACTGATATACCTTTGAATTTATTCGCTGAAGGTAATGTCATCATATAATCAATCATTGCTAGTAAGCGTTAAATATTTTAATCGGTGATTTTTGTTTTTTATTTGTATGGTTTGTTTTAGATGATTCACCAACGAATGAGGACGCCCCCGAGAAGAATTATGTTGATAATATTATCAATGATTTGGGAAGTGATGTTGGCAATGATAGCAGCTCAGCGCTGTAAAGAAAATCAGAAGTCGTTTGTATGTATTGTATTAAAGTAGAAACTATTTACTAAAGAGAAGGCCTGAAGGTTTTTATCTTCACAGAAGAGCTGAAAATCTTCCCCATAAAATATCTGAAGATCTTATTCACAGAAGAGCAGAAGGACTTCTTTATCTTCATAGAAGAGCTGAAGGTCTTCTTTATATTCATAGAAGAGCCGAAGGCCTTCTTTATCTTCGTAGAAGAGCTGAATGTCTTCTCTAACTTCGTAGAAGAGCTGTATGCCTTCTTCATAGAAAGCTGAAAGTATTCATAAAATTGCAGAGTCTTCTTCATAAAAGACTGAAGGTCTTCTTCAAAGAAGAGCTGAAGGTCTTCTTCATTTTTATAGATGTATTTTTTGCATCAGTTAAATTCAATCAAATCAATATCAAAAATTACTAATCACATTTTTCTTTTCTTTACAGATAATATTCGTCTTATCATCTTCACTTACGGAAACAACAATCCTGTATTTTTTATAAATTAATGTCAAATATGTACTATTATTTTTTGTTATAAACAAATTTCAAATTACTAATTTGTTCATTTTATTGTTTTGTAGTTAACAATATGATTTGGTTAAAAAAACTATAAAACAGCTCTTTAAATTAAAATCACCTATACAATATAAGATTGTAAACTAAATGACATTAAATTATAAAACAAAAAATTGACATTTCACAATTTAATATTCTAACAATAATTCATTTCAACACCCAATCGCAGCAATAATTTAATGACCATCATTAATAACACAATAAAAATCATAACTTTAACGTAAAACCATGTTTAAAATTTGTTTCAATATAAATTACTTTTTTTCTTCTTTTGTTAACGAGGCCTTTATATACAAATTATGTATTAATCACAAATAAATTGTTTAAAAAAATAAATTAATATTTTGATATTATATGCTAATAGAAAAGCTTTAAGTAATTTTGTTTATAAAAAAGGCCATTCATTTTCATTTATGACTTTTTTTCTCTTTTTTTCATTAATTATTACGTAATTATTTTTGTTTTATTATAAAATATCATAAATAATAATTATGTATTATTTTTCATTATACCTTATATATAGTACATAATATATATGTACTTTATCTACTATTAAAACCACATAATAAATAAATATTCAAATGAACAAATCAAGAACTGTATAAGATATAGAAATAAACAAAAATGAACACACGAAAATAAATTCATTAATTTCTTCATGTCTAAGAAATAAGATATTTCAGTGTATATGTTTTATCTTTTTAAATATATATATAAACATATATGAAATAATTTTAATAATATTATTGTTTAATATGTGTGCTTTGTGGAGTTTATACCCGTTTCATTTAGTTTTCTATGAAGAAACATTTTGTCTTCTATGAAGAAGACCTTTTGGTCTTCTATGTGAGGACTTTCTGGTCCTCTATAAGAACATCTTTTGGTCTTCTATGTGAAGACCTTTTGGTCTTCTATGAAGAAGACCGCTTGGTCTTCTATGAGGCAGACCTGTTGGTCTTCCATGAAGAAGATCTTTTGGTCTTCTATGAAGAAGACCTTTTGATCTTCTACAAGAAGACCTTTTGATCTTCTATATGAACCTTTTTGGTCTTCTATGAGAAGACCTTTTGGTCTTCTATGGAGAAGACCTTCTAATCTTCTATGGAGAATACCTTCTGGACATCGGTGAGAAAACCTTCTGGGCTTCTATGAAGATATTCTTGTCCTCTATAAAAAGACATTGCGGTCTTCTATGTGAAGACCCTTCTATAATATAGACCTTTTGATCTTCTATGTAGAAGTCCTTCTGGTTTTCTGTGAAGAAATTGTTCTGGTTTTGTATGAAGAAGAGCTTGTGGACTTTCTGTTCTAATTTGAAATGGAAATTTTGTTGTGGGTTTTGTCACGTTTTTTTAACGAAATAGATGCAATTTAGTATTTTGGGATCCGATTGTAATACTTGTTGTATATCGGTTCATTTTTAGGGTAACCCTAATATAACGGTACCTTCCAAATGCTGATATTTTGAGTTGTTTTTTTAAATTAAAATTTTAATTTAAAATTTTGGATTGCCATTGGGGGGTAGAAAATCTGCCTTTCAAATAATGTTCAATATTGAGTCATTATTCGGTTCCTTCCAAATTTCCGTATTTTGGGGAGTTTGAGTATGTTTTTCAAATAAATTGGGCATTGGGCAGACAATCTCCCTGATAGGGTCTAATAATTAGGGTTAGACCCTTCCGCGGTAGTTCCGCTTCATATTGGTGTTTTGAAGGTTCTCTTTTCGCATTTTCAGGCCGAGGTGCTTGTAAATTGTTATTGCGATTTCTTGGAGGCCGAACAATCTTTTTGTAGAATAATTTCTATATAAACTGGAACCAAGGTTCCGCATTGTCCACCGCAGTGGTTGTAATTGAACATTTTGTGTTCTTGAATGGTGAAAAACATATTTCTTCAAACATGTTTGCCATATAAAGAAGGACCAGGTCCATGTTCGTTATTTTGCACGCATTTCAGATTCCTGGTGAATTAGAAACTTCTTGGTTCAATACAGGTTCATTTTTTATATTGCTTCTATACAAATGCCATGAACTAATATAATTTTTACTTGTTATACCCTGCACAACTATGTTGTCAGGTTACTATAGTTTTGTGCAGCCCCAAGAGTTTGTAACGCCGCCAAATATTAGTCCTAATGGATCCTGACTTTTGTGTGAAAAATATGGCGTATATATTTACTCCTGGCGGACATAGACCCGAGAAGTTGATCGTATGTCCAAGAAGAGTGTTGGATCTTTAAATTTATACTAAGTAGAGGATGAAATGTACCGAAAACTTCCAGGCTAAGAAAAAGGAGCTGTTGACCTCTAATAAGTCAAATATAGCGAAATAATTCCCAGGTTCGTATATATGACCTTTATACTTGCTATGAAGACATTTGTCTCTGAACAAAAAAAAAAAAAACAACTAATTTTCTATGAATTTCTTTTGCTCTATTTTTATACCCTTCACCACACTGTGGTACAGGGCATTATATCTTTGTGCATATGTTTGTAACAGGTAAAAGGAAACGAGATAGACTTAATTTACTTAGACTTTATTACTTTCTAAGTCGATTTATGCATGTCCGTCCGTCTGTCCATGTTAAATTGTAAACAAAGTACAGATCTATTGAAATTGGGAAAACACGGTTCAGATTTACATATAGCTCCCATATATATTTTCTCCCGATTTAAGGTAAATGGTGCATCAAAGTTCCTATATATCTTTCGATTTGCACGAAATTTGACATAGTATACTGAATTAGGCCTAAAATGACGTACGTGAAGTTTCATGAAAATCAGCTCAGATTTAGATATAGCTCCCATATATATTTTCGTCCGATTTAATGTAAATGGCGAACCAAAGTCCCTATATATATTTCGTTTTGCACGAAATTTGGCGCAGCGTAATTAATTAGGTCTAGAATGATGTGTGTTATGTTTCCTGAAAATCGGTTGAGATTTATATATATAGCTCCCATATATATTTTCGTCCGATTTAATGTAAATGGTGTACCAAAGTCCCTATATATCTTTCGATTTGGACGAAATTTAGCATGGCGTACTGATTTAAGTCTAAAATGATGTGTGTTAAGTTTCGTGGAAATCGGTGCAGATTTATATATATCTCCTAATTATTTTTTCTTCTGATTTTATGCAAAGTATGCACTAAACTCCTAATGTTTATCAGATATTTATCCAAATAACCAAAGGGCGTCTGATTGATAATTTTTTTTTATTTGCTTTAAATTGATTCACATAAATTTGTCCCATTTTAAGAAACAACTCTGTGTCTGACAAAATGAAAAATTTACTATAGGTTGCAGAATGACATGTTTATGGATCCAATTTCATTTTAAAAAAATGTGACATCTGTTACTTTTATACCCAAAGTGGTGAATTTCTTTTGCTCCATTTTCGTATTTTATTTTAAGAATTAAAAAAATATATTTCAATAAAAAAATGAAACAAAAAACCCGAACTCCAAATCTTTCGACTTGAGCTGTTAGCAGAGCAAGGTTTCGATCCTCGGACCTCTGGGTTATGGGCCCAGCACGCTTCCACTGCGCCACTCTGCTTCTTATTTTAATGCGTGCTAAATGCCGTATACAAGCAAATACACATTGTTCTATAACAGCAGCAACAGCAACAACAACAATAATAACAATCACCAAAACGCACATTGAATAAATTGTACGGAAGAGGGTTGAGGTTAGGTAGTCAGTTAGTTTGCTGGTTTTTATTATGCATGGGATTTTATGTTGTGAAACGACAAAAGCAACAACAATAGCTTAATTTGTTATTAAATTTCAGAATATGGACATTATCAATATTTGTTGAAAGCAATTTTCTAAACAATATATATATTTTGTTTTAAATTATGCAATCACTTAGAGCAACATCTGAAGAAGAAAATGCAATGGAATTGAGGTCTAAATATTACGGAATGTTTTAGTTTGCACCCTCCATCAGAAAAAAATGGTTATCTCTTCAACAATTCCCTACCATCCACCGATATTAACCTAATTTTTTAAAAACTGTATTGGAGGTATAAGAATCCCCTCTCTTTCGTCGTGACTTCCTATCATTTTTTTCTTCCACTTCTTACCTACAAACATTTGGTGGACACTTAACTTCACTAAGAATTTCCTCAATCCTAAAGACATAATTGCCACGAATATAGGCAAAACACAAATGTCTCTTCCAATCTCCCACTCAAATGCCATATTTCGCCAATTGCCACAATTAGCAAAAAAAAATAGAGCACAGAATGAGAAGAGGCTCAATTATATTCTTGACACCATTTCACTATTTGCCATTTCCAAAAGGAAGCTATGGTTGGCCTACTTCTTTCATTCTTGAGTAGAGTTGTTTTGTGTGTCATTTGCCCATCACAACAGTTGATTCCCATTTGTCAAAGTTTTTTTTTCTTTTTTTTT